TCTATCTATCTATCTATCTATCTATCTATCTATCTATCTATCTATCTGCTTATCTATCTGTCTGTCTGTCTGTCTATCTTACAGATAAGTTAATGGAACTATAGTTTGTTAACCATTGCTTTTCAACCTTGGCCACTTGGAAGACCAGTGGACTTCAACTCCCAGAATTCCCCATGCCAGCCATGCTGACTGGGGGATTCTGGCAGTTGGAGTCGGCAAATCTTAAACTTGACAAATACTGGTTTAGACAAGTGTCTCTCAATCTTGGTGTCAGGGCTTTAAGATCCATGGACTTCAACTCCCAGAATTCCCCAGCCAGTATGGGAGTTGAAGTCCACAGGTCTTAAAAGTGGCCAAGGTAGAGAATGATTTAGACAAATCATTTATTTATTCTCTTATTTTCTTTGACATAGGGGAGAAGGCTGCACCCCATTGGCAGCCTCGGTGTAAGTCTTGGCTTGGGAAAGTTTTCCCTCCACCGTCCCAAAAGAACATCCCTGGAGAACATCAAGGAAGAAACGTCAGGGAAATCCAGGCCTGAGATGGGATAAGTATCCCTCCCATGGCTTCCAGCAAAGCGATCCGGAAAGAAAGGGGGGCTCCCTCGTCCCTGCACCTCCCTGTCCAGGCTGCTCAAGGAAAGACAGTCAAAATGGAGGAGAAGGAAACGGCCTGTGCCAAGCCGGCCGAGCAAGTCCAGAAGGAATCCTGCGTCATCCAGGCCAGTGGCCCCACCGAAATACCGAGACGGGGGTCCCCACTGCAGATCAAGCAGGAACCGGACGAGGGCCTGGCCCAGCGCTGGGAAGCCCAGTGGCAGAATTTCCTGAAGATGGTGCAGGCCCCGCATCCCAGTTGGGTCTCCTCTCCGTTGCCAGAACTGGTGGCTTTTAGTGACTCCAAAGGGATCCAACCTTCCAGCGGGATGACCCCGCAGGTCTTTGGCTGGAAAGTGAAGGAAGAAGTCTGTGAGGAAGAGATCGGAAACACGGAGGCCCAGAGGCAGCGGTTCCGGCATTTTTGCTACCAGGATGCCGAAGGGCCCCGCGAAGTCTGCAACCGTCTCCGGGAGCTTTGCCACCGGTGGCTGAAGCCAGAGAGGCACACCAAGGAGCAGATCCTGGAGACCCTGGTGCTGGAACAGTTTCTGGTCATTCTGCCCCCGGAGATCCAAGGCTGCGTCCGGGACCGGGGACCGGAGAGTTGTGCCCAGGCGGTGGCCCTTGCTGAGGGTTTCCTCCTAAGGCAGAAGGAGGCCCAGTTGGTGAGCGTTGGTCCTGTGTCCTGTTTTTCCACCTTGTCTTCATGCAAGGATCTTCAAACTTAAGACTTGAGGACTTCAACTCCCAGAATTCCTGAGCTAACAGGACAGGAGGAGGAATTCTGGGAGTTAAAGCCCACAAGTCTTAAAGCTGTCAAGTTTGAAGACCCCTGCCTTGGTGGATTGACCTATAGAGCTCTTGTTGACCTCTTGTAGTTGTGAGGAACTGTTTAAGGAACCTTGAACTGTGTCTTGAGCCAAGGGCATTGTCAGTGACCCCCGCAAAAAGCTGACAATAATCCCCAGAAGCTCGTCAAAAATGCTTAGCCATTTTATATATATTTTGTGCCTTTTAGTCAAGTCTTCACTTCCGGCAACTGCACAGACCGTTCCCTGTGGTTTTCTCAGGTAGATTTTTGGAAGTGAATTTTCTTTGCCTCTTTTCTAGGGCCGAGAACAATTTTCCCCACTCTCCCCCAGGACGTTCAGCTGGCTTCATACCTAAGACAGGGTTAGAAATCAGGATCTCTTCATTTGTAGCTCAGGGTACTACACTGAACTGACTGTCTAGCTCAGGGGTTTCCAACCATGGCCACTTTAAGTCTTGTGGATTTCAACTCCCAGAATAAGCAAAACTCTTGAGGCAGGTAGATTCCTCAAAGAATAGCTTTATTGGATATGCCATGTTGGCACAGGCTGGTGAAAACCGACTCTTAAACGTTCCTGAAATGTTCACCTAATTAAAGTAGAAGTTTTTCACTTTCTCAAAACAAATCAGTCACGTGGTCCGATCAGGATACAGCAGGGGTATTCAAGGGCATTTTTGACCACAATACAGCAAGACAGTGGCTTAAGTGAGTGTTGCTGTCAGGATCGACCTAATTAAATCATGATTCTCAAGCCAAACTTCAGGAAATTTCAAAGGATTTATTAGAGGCGACATACTGGCCCTGCCCTGTAGGAAGCCAACTCTGGCATCCGTAATTTAGAGTCCCCTGTGACCCTCCTGGATGTGTCTTAAATCAGATTCTCCAATTGAATATATTCAATATATTTGGGGGCAAAAGATCTGGTAGTTTAAGTTGCAATCTTTTAAAGATAAGAGTAGGAATGTACTTTCGATTTCAAACTGCTGCACTACTCTCCCAGACTTCCTTCCTCTCCCCCCCCCCTTTATTTTTTAATGGCAACTATTAAAACAGGTATAGGAATGTTTTATGAATTGACAGTTGCCCCATTTTATGACCTTTCTTGCCAGAGTTGTTAAGTGAATCACTGCTGCTGTTAAGTTAGCAACACGGTTGTAAAGCAAATCTGGGTTCCTCGTTGACTCTGCTTTGTCAGAAGGTCGCAAAAGCGGATCGTGTAACCTCAGGACGCTGCAACTGTCGTAAATACATGCCAGTTGCCAAGCGGTTGAATTTTGATCACGTGACCATGGGGACGCTGTGTTGTGTGATGACCTGGGGCGTGACACAAAAATAACCAAGTTACAAAAATAGAAGAAAGTCCCTTTCATGCCTCCAACTTGGCCCCAAAGTCCAATTATCCTCGGCAGGATATCAAACTTTTAAAACAGTTTACGGAGGGAGTAATTGCAGTCCGCACCCAAAGTAAAATTAATTCGAAATAAAAAACCCAACAGAAACCACACTGAAGGAATTACTACGGCAGGCAAGGATGATTAATTGCACACTTCTACCAGATAACGCAGCAACCACAGTTGGGAGGAAGCCAAAACACAGATAAACTCCGACAAGAATGCACACTTTGCTTCCAGCAACTTTGTCATGCGCAGTTTGTCCTTTTAACCAGTCCTCGCCGCTGCAGCCCACGAAGGGGATCAAGGCCCCTTCCTCCCCCGTAGACCATGCCACTCATGTTTCTCCCTTATCCGCTCCTCCCTGCTTGCCTTAGGACGAAGAAGGGATGGGCCTGGGTCTTCCTCTGAATGCCCATCCGGCCTGTGCCCTTCCCCAGTTTCCTCCACAGCCACTGGAGCCAGACTCCCACTCTCTTGTCAGCTGTTCCATCTCTCCCTCGGAGTCAGACTCCCAACAGGGGCATGATAGGTTGTAAGTGTGAAAAACCATCATAAAGCACCAATTTCATGGCCGTTGTAACTTTGAATGATCATGTTCTGACCCAGGTCCCCAAAGATGACAAACCCACTGTAGTTGAAGCAATGATTCCTTTAATAGGAGCACCAGCGGCCCTGGAAAAAAGTTTCTCTTTCCTCGCAGGCTAACAAATCAGTCCGGCAGTTAGATGAACAGTTGTCTGCCCCATCTATTCATCTCTACCCGTGTCTTTTATCCCCACAGCTAGGGTGGGGCTTTGCTAGGAGAGGTGACTCTTCCGTCCCAAGTATCGGCCCATAGATTTCCACTGCTCTCCTCTCCTCTGCCTTCTGTGTAGCTGCTTGTCAGGCACTGGACCCAGCTGTTCCTCTTCTTCCTCATCAGCCACCTCCAGACCTGGGAGCTGTTGACTCTTCATGTGAGGACTGATGGACGGCCCAGGGTCCGTCTCTTGTCTCTATTCTCTCTTCCCCCTTGGAGTTCTCTGGTTGACCCTTGACTCTCAGACGCTGCCTCATTTGATTTAGGTGCTGGAGGGGCCGCCGGCCGATAGGCCACAACAGGTCACTAAATGAATGGTTGTAAGTCAAGGACTACCTGTATTAGAATTGGTGGGGGGGGGGCATCATTTTTTTTCTTTTGGGTGATTTTTTTTTCTCTCTAAATTTCCTATCTAGAGATTTCCTTGTGGTCTCCCATTCAACCCCTAACCTGGTTTGACTCTCTTAGTTTTCCAAGTTCAGCTTAGCTTGGCTAGGTGGCGCTGCCTGCTGCAATTCGGTTTACTTTCCCAGCGTTAATAAAAGCCGGATTGCCATGTTATATTGTCCAATTGTCCTATTTTTTTTGTTTGTTTGTTTCAGTATCACCGGTTCCTTTGAATTAATGGGCTGGTCCTTTGTTTGTTCTTTCAGGGCCAGGATTGCTTTGAGGAAATGACGGTGAATCTTCCAAGGATCCATCAAGTCTGCTTGGGGGCCTCTCGAAAGCTAGGTATTGTAAAGGGAGTGGGTTTCCTCCCCTCGGTGTCCTAATCTATTGATCGAACAGCTTGATCTACCTTACAGGGTTGTTTTTTTTTGGAAAATAGGAAGTAGGAATAAAAATAAAGGTGAGATGAAAATCAAATCAACTAACCAAAGTGGCTATTCCATCAGTGGAGGCTTTTACAAAGATCAAGTAAGGTACTAATACCATTCTATAAAGCCTTAGTAAGACCACACCTAGAGTACTGCATCCAGTTTTGGTCACCACACTATAAAAAGGATGTTGAGATTCTAGAAAAAGTACAGAGAAGAACAACCAGGATGATGAGGGGACTGGAGACTAAAATATATGAAGAATGGTTACAGGAACTGGGCCTGGCTAGTCTAGGGAAGAGAAGGACCAGGGGAGATAGGATAGCGGTCTTCCAATATTTGAGGGGCTGCCACAGAGGGGAAGGGGTCAATCTAATTTAACAACCGCACTGATTCACTTAACAATTCTGTCAAGATAGGTCGTAAAATGCGGCAAAATTCACTTCACTGCTTTAGCAGTGAACATTGTCGGCTCAAATTGTTTTGTTTTTTTTCCCCCAAAGTTTTTTATTTTTTATATTTCATAAATTGTCTCTTAGTGAACAGCTTAGTTCCAGATTTTTACATTTCTATACAAACATGACCTTATGATCTTTGCCTTTCATATTCAGTTTCGTATCGTATTTTTCTTCTTGTATTTTCTATTCATATCTTAATTTTTCCATTTTTTTTCTTCAAATATTCTCTTCTTAATACAGATTCTTTATACAATATTTAAAGTTACATATTCATTTCATATCATATCATTACATTTATGAATTCTATAAATTTTCTCTAATATCCTTCACATTTATTCCATATATTTCTATTCATGTCTTAACCTTTTCTATTTTTCTTCAATTATTCTCTTATCTTAAAATACAAATTTCTTTATATAATTTTTAAAATTCTTATTTCTAATTCAATACTCCTTGTACTTGTATGTGTCTTATTTGTAAATTCATCACATATTCTTGGTTCATTATTCAAAAAATTTCATTATAGTTCCAATAATTAATAAATTCAAAATCGGCTCAAATTGTTGAGGACTGCCTGGGTCAACTAATTGTCTTGGGCAGAAATCAACCACCAGAAATACCGGAAGTCAAAAAATGGGCCTATTTTTCGGCCTGCAAAAGCTTTCCTCAAGCCTCTGGGAGGCCGAAAAAGGCCTCAAATAAGCCAAAAATCAGCTGGGAGGTGTAGTGCAGGTAAGGGGGTGACGGGGTGGGAATTGCGCGCACATGTGCAGGGGGCATAAGGGGGTGCACACATTGCCTTCTGTGTGTGGGCATGCACGCAAGCACACGCACAATTGTTGTTGCATTGTCCTTACATTGTATGTTATAGATCAGTGGTTGCCAACCAGTGGAGCGGGGACCACTGGTGGTCTGTGAGAAAATTTTGGTGGTCCGCAGAGAAATGGCACCCCCAAAGCAATTAATCCAGGCTGCGTGGAAACAAGGCTTGTGTCGCTTGCATTGCAAACAACACAAAATAGTGAGGGGAGGGGGGGAATTTGCCCCACTTGCCCAAGTGCCTGGCCTGGCCTGGCCACCGGGTTACTTCTTTCCGCTTCTTTCTTCTGCTTTTGGCTGCACGCAAGGAAAGCAGCAAAAGTCTTTCTTTCTCTCCCCCAAACTCCTCCAGAAATGAGTCTTTGGGACCCTACAAGGCCTCCTGCTCCAAGAGGCTGTGCCGGCGCGACAAGTCTCACAAAGACTATTTCTAGCGGAGTTTGGGGGAGAGAAAGAAAGACTTCTGCATCTACTGCTTTCCTTGCATGAAGCCAAAAGTCTCTCCCCCACCCACCCCACCGAGAATGGAGCTGGAGACGGTATCCTGCGATCCCAAATAAAGAATGATTGATCAGTAGGACAATGGGGTGGGGAATTTTCCTGCAGACTTTTTGGGGGGATTTTCCTAGGGTCTCTGGTCCGCAGGATTTAAAAGTATGAGTTTTGTGGTCCGTGAGGTCCAAAAGATTGGCGGCCCCTGTCATAGATGACTTTCTTCTGGGGTTGTTGGGTCTTTTGATCCGCTTAGGATGTTTTGAAGGGCTTTAATTGGGCTTGGGTGCTACCCTGATTCCTTGTGGTTGTAGGAATCTGTTGGTGGTTTCTGAGATATTCTTGATGTATGGCAGTGTAATTCTTTTTGGGGGTAATGAAACCTTTGCAAGAAAAAAAGGCAAGCTCTCTCTCTCTCTTTTTTTTAAACCCTTAATTTATGCCATATACACACAGCTACAAACTTAAAGATGAGAATGTTTTTAATTGTTTTCTATTTTTTCTTCCTATTTTCTTCTCCTTTTGTTTCTTTTCCTTTCTTTCATTTGTGTATATGTTGTTGGTTTGTTTTAATTGTAAAATCAATAAAATTTATTTATTAAAAACAAAAAAGGCAAGACCAGAGAGTACCAAGGACCGCTTGGTTTATGTGATTCTGGCTTTTGGCATAGGTTGGAAACCTGCTGTTTTGCCAGAGTAAACATGCAGATCTCGGATTCAGAGGTAATGAAGACACAGATGAGGTGGAAACTAAAGTGCTTTATTGAAAAAGCCTGGGGGAGTGGCAGAAATTTAATTAAAGGATGATTCATGGAAAGGATAGAATCTTAACTTTTTTCAAATGCTGGAAACACCATCCTCTCCAGCCCAGGAAATGAGAACAGACACCCAAGTTCTTTGCCTCTTGAGAAAGTTTGGTGGGCGGCCATTTTACTTTTTTTTTTAATTTGGCATTTCTATTACTTACCTTTGTTAATTATCGGCACTCAGAAGCATCTCTCTGAGGCCAGCTTTGTACATTTCCACTGCCAGGCTTTCCTTTGGCAGGTCTGCCATAAGTTTCATAAATCAATACATTCATTCATAAATTCATTTGTTTATTTTATCCTTTTTTTTTTTAATGGCTTAAACCATTCAAAAGTATCCGGGTTATTTTAGCTCAAGTTTAAAAGTACAGATGCAATAAAATAAAATAAAAATGATTTTTTAAAAAAAAAATATTTGTGACAGTAAATTAAAATTAGCACACGTGCACGGTGGAAACTAATCAAGGAGAGAAGCAACTTAAAACTTGTAGAGTTGTAATTGCAGGAATGTTCCAATCTCGGATGGCAAACCTCAGATAAAGAATGTTTCCAAGCAAATACAACTCCGGTAAACAAAGTCACTAATCTAAAGGAGGATTAGAGAGAGGAAGTAAACATATGTTAGACTTTAACTAGAGATAATTAATTGTGTTAATTACTGTGCTAAAGAGTAACGAAAATTAAGCAGTAACCAAAGTTAACCAATGATGGAGGATAACTAAAAATGTGTATAAATGCAAGACTAGACTCCAATAAAGATCATCATGATTCAGTTGTTCATGATCAAACAACTCAACTGCCTCGTCATTACAACAAAAACTAAGGAGAAATTTCGTGGCAGTGAGAACAATTAATCCACGGAGCAACTTGCCTTTCAGAAGTTGTGAATGCTCCGACCATTTGTCTGAAATGGTATACGATAGAGGTCTCCAAACTTGGCAACTTTAACCTAGTTGGCTGGAGAATTCTGGGAGTTGAAGTCCACAAGTCTTAAAGTTGCCAAATTTGGGGGCTCCTGGTATAGGGTTTCTTGCCTGAGCAGCCAATTCGACTTGAACAGGAGGTCCCCAACCCGTGGGCCATAGGACGCTACCGGGCCGTGGCCTATTTGTGGGTTGAAGATTAGGAGGTAAGTTTGTAAGCCCTTCCCAATGTGGTGGCCTATATTTCCCATCCTCCTCAGCAAACATGGGCAACGGAGTGGACGGGAAGGTAGACATCTTATTTGAACAGCATCGACTTAGGGAAGGCAGTCCTGACTGTAATGGGAGCCTGCCCGTTACAGTTATATGATCCTAAAATGGCTCATCAACATCGACCTGATTTTACAAACTATTTGGTGGTTGTTAAATCAGCATGGTCATGAAGTGAAGCCAGTCATTAGGAGGTAAACTGTATGGTTGTTCAACGAACCCTTTGTTCACTGTCGGGTGTTTTTGTCCCAAACTGGAAGCAAGTAGCAGTTTTTGACAAAAATGTTGTAAATTGCAATCATGTGACTATGGGACTCCGCAAACGAGTTGTAAATCTGAGCCTATGGCTGAGATCCCCAATGAGATCATATTGGGGGGACGGGGCAGTCAATGGGACTTTGGAAGAGGTCAAATCTATCTGTAAGCTTTATGCACACATTCACCGTGTCCTTCTACTCTTCTTCCAGCAGGGGGAAGGCTGCTGAATGAACAGGAGCGGCCACCTCTCTGGGCCCAAGATTACCTGGACCGAGAGTCCACCGGCAGGACGTCGCTCCCCAAAACCCAGGACAACCTCTCGCCACGGTCCGGATTGGGCAAAATTTCGGAGAATGAGCTGATGAGGCCTGAAAGGTCTTCGGGCTCTCTCCCGACCAAGAGAGGCTCCGAAGCGATCCCATGCAGAGTGGGCTACAAAGATCTCGGCGGGATCCTTTTCCAGGAGAGGATCCAAGAGAGCCCCCGGCAGAAGCGCTGCGTCGTGCTCCGCCGGCGGATCCACACCGAGGAGCGGCTCTACAAGTGCCAGGATTGCTGGAAGAGCTTTGACCACCGCTCCCACTTCATCCGCCACAAGAAGATCCACACGGGCGAGAAGCCCTTCCAGTGCACCGACTGCGGGAAGAGCTTCAACCGGAACTCCAACCTCACCACCCACATGCGGACTCACACGGGCGAGAAGCCCTACAAGTGCTTGGACTGCGGCAAAAGCTTCCGGTGGAGCTCGGATTTCATCGTCCACGAGCGGACTCACACCGGGGAGAAGCCCTACAGCTGCGCGGACTGCGGGAAGGCCTTCCGCCGCAGCTCCAACCTCACAGCCCATGAGCGGACGCACCGGGGTGAGAAGCCCTACAAGTGCTTGGACTGTGGGAAAAGTTTCACCCGAGGCCTCTACCTGATTGCACACAAAAAGACGCACTCGGGGGAGTGAGCGGGAGAGAGCGAGAGTCGGTTAGCGGTGGCCCCACCTTGGATATTTCCTGGGAGAAGGGAGCTCCTCAGACGTCTCATCTGAACGGCATCCATGGCTCATCTGGGAGGGCGGCGGCAGGGAACAAAATGATCACTTCTGGGTTTGGGTTCAGGGCCCTGTCAACAACTCCAGATGACCGGTGATGGATGTGATCTACAGCAATCTCACTCCAGTGCAAAGTTGGCCCAGTGAAGTTGCCAAAAAAAAAAAAAAAATGTCCGCCAGAATTCATTTCGGCGGACGATTCTTCTGGCAAATCCTTCAACCTCCCCGCAAGCCCAGTCGATCAGTTTGGGGAGTAGGGCAACTCAGCCTACAATGACCACGTTTGGGTGGGATGACAGCTTCTCTCAGGACGTGACTCGCTACAGCGTGAGCAATTTGAATTCTCCAAAACCAAAATCGGGAGGGTGAGCTGAAGGCGAGGAAGGCCTTGTTAGGAAGACATGTTATTCTGGGCCGGATGGTTTCTCCACCTCGAAGCTGAGGGAGAAGATCTTTTTAAGTTTTAGATTGGCACAGTGCTGCAGATTTGAACCCCCAAAAGGACTTCGGAGCAGCGGAGAGACCTGCTTAACCCCCTTAAGAGCAGGGATCTCCTAACTTGGCAACGTTTTAAGACTTGGGGACTTCGACTCCCAGAATTTCAGCCTGGTCGACTGAGGAATTCTGGGAGTTGAAGTCCACCAGTCTTAAAAGTGGCCATGTTTGGAGACCTCGGATTTAAAGCAAACCATTGCTTTTTCTGCAGCTGCAGAAGACCACAATGCCAGTACCAGCTGCGTTTAGGGGATGTGGGGGCTGTTTGCACTTAAGAGAAACCTTTTGGGATTTAGATCCAAAGAGCACTGCCTGGCTTTTATCTTTTGATGCGCTGGTCATGTACCAGCTACAAAGTAGAACATCACTGTTGGGTCATTTTGGTTCCCTTCAAGCGGTTTTCTCTCGGCTGCAGCCCACCCCTTTGTATTATGGGCGTAGTAGTACTAATTTACCATATATGGTGGTATTTCTCAACCTTGGTGGCTTTAAGACATGTGGACTTTAACTCCCAGAATTCCCCAGCCAGCTTTAACAGATAACACATAATCAGAGTGGGAAGGGACCTTGCAGGTCATCTAGTCCAACCCTCCGCCCCAACAGGAGACCCTACACCATTTCTGACAGATGGGGAGTCCAATCTCTTCTTGAAAACCTCCAGGGATGAAGCTCCCACAACTTCTGAGGGCAACTTCTGTTCCATTGGTCGATTGTTCTCACTGTCAGAAAGTTTCTCCTTATTTCCAGGTTAAATCTCTCCTTGTTCAGTTTCCATCCATTATTCCTTGTCTGGCCTTTGTTGTGTTTTAGAAAATAGCTTGACCCCCTTCCTCTCTGTGGCAGCCCCTCAAATATTGGAAGACTGCTATCATGTCTCCCCTGGTCCTTCTCTTTACGAGACTAGCCAGGCCCAGTTCCTGCAACCGTTCATCGTATGTTTTAGCCTCCAGTCCCCTAATCATCCTGGTTGCTCTTCTCTGCACTTTTTCTAGAGTCTCAACATCTTTTTTATAGTGTGGTGACCAAAACTGGATGCAGTACTCTAGGTGTGGTCTTACTAAGGCTTTATAGAGTGGTATTAGCACCTCACTTGATCTCGATTGTATCCCTCCGTTAATGCAACTTAGGATTGCAACTTTCATGGCTGGGGGATTCTGGGAGTTGAATCCATACCATACTTCTTAAAGCCACCTAGGTTGAGAAACGTTTCCATATGTTCACTCTGAGGATTACACTCTGTTTCAATTTCAAGATAAATATATGTGAAGGGCTTCAATTGCTCAAAAGTGCTATACAAAGGCCAAGTATTTATTACTATTATTATTTTTTATGATTACCTGTCTCTTTTGAGAAGCCGGGGGGATGTTTCAGATTTAAACATTTTTTGGCATGCCGAGCAGTGACTTGGCGAACCAATTCTGCGTTTGCTCTTCTGCCATTTCCGCGCTGATGTGGTTTTTTTTTTTTTTTACATTTGAGGGGAGGTACCGAAAAAGGCTTTCGCTTCAAAAAGGGGGAGGGTTAAAATAAAAATAAAAAACAGGGAAAAGGAAACATCCGTTCCTTAGTCCTCATGGAGTGGGAGAAGGGATTGTATGCCTAGCCAATGCAGAATAAATCCGGTAAGCAAAATATGAACAGGCCTGTCTAGTTTAATCTGGGGGTAGAAAATCCAAATGCCCAAATCCAGATTTAGGGCACTTCAGATAGCCCTCGAAGGACAGTCGCAATTGACCTAAAAATTTTACACATCGATTTGTAAAAACATTCCTATGCTTGTTTCCAAGTTGCCAAAAGAAAAAAAAAAGTGTGTGTGAAGAAGCCTATGGCAAATGAACTTAAAACTTTAATTGGAGAATGTGATGGATGACACCTAGCCCGTGTGGATGTGCTTAATTGGAGAAACTGATTTATGGCACACCCAGGGGGAAGAGGAGAAGCAGGGTAATTACGTATGCCAGAGTCAGCTTTATGCAGGTCACGCCGGTATGTTGCTCCTATTGAATTCTTGGAAGTTTTTCGAAGCTTGGCTCGAGGCTC